CATTGAAGTAGCTCGGTTTTGCCCCCTCTTTCCAGTTTCTCAAGCGATTTTGCATGTCATAGGCCTGAAAAAACTGTTTTTGAGAAAGATATCGTTTCAGGCAGCCCAGCTTGCTCGGAATCAAGCCCCGGCATCCAGCCTACCTCCCGGACTCAGCGGCGCTACCAGTCATATGCTTCTGAATCAGGCTCAATTGTTACAATTCCAAATGGTAAGTGTGATTTTGTCGTTGTCCCTCATTTGAGTATCATTGTTCTATTTCCCTCCTTTTCAGCTTCAACAACTTGACCCAGCAAGAGCAGCAGCATTTGCGACAGCCCTCCAGCAACATGCTCAGGCTCAGGCTCAAGTTCAAGCACAAGCTCAGCAAACCGGTCAGCCATCTCAACTCGATCTCGGCATCTATCGTGCCCACCTTGAACAACAACAGCAACAGCAACAACAACAAAATTTCCTGCTAGCTCATGCTCAAGCTCAGGCGCAAGCCCAAGCTCAAGCTCAGCAGCAACAAGCCGCCCAGGCTCAGGTGCAACAGCAACATTCTGTCACGGGAGGTGTCGATCCTCGTGAAACGCTCCTGCGGTTGTACAGTCAGTCGTCAGCCAGTGGTCGAGGTGGCATTGAGGCGTTGCTGAGCGCTCAACAGGCTGCGGTTGCTGCAGCCCAACAACAGCAGCAACAACAGCAACAACAACAACAACAGCAGCAACAACAACAACGTCTTCCGCCCGGTTTCCCTGGCACTGCAGGCGCCCTAACTCCTGGACTGGCTGGTCTGGCAGCCCAGCATGCATCGTTGGGTGGAACGCCCACGTCGCAATCGCCATTGTTCAATCCGGCATTATTAGGATTACAAGGACTCGGTGCACAATACGCAAAACCGTTCACAGCCGGCCTTCAGCAACTCGGCCAAATCAAACGTGACGGGAATGACGTCATTCCAAATGGCCGGTAGTTGAGTAGTAAAAGTGTGGCTTCAGGCCGGTAATCATACCAAATAATAGTCAAGCAGCGAGCAGCAGCCGAGAAAAGCGGTCAGATAGGAGTTGATAGGCATAAAATTAGCATCGTAGGCGATCCCTCCCAGAATACCGTAGTCTACCGTGATTCGTATGGCGCAATTCGCTGCTTGATATGCGTATATTTCCCCCTACAAATCACTCATCTCGTTGATACGTCAGTCATCGTCATTCGTTCTCTCTCTCTGTCTCTCTCTTGTCACGGCCTCCGTCCCTCTATGCCCTGCGGGTTGTCACGGGTTGTTTGCAATCTTCCTCGCTTCCTTCCAATCATCATTTCCTCCTTTTCATCACATCTGTCATCGATATTTCTATGATTTCTAAATATATTCAAATTTCTCCAAATACCCATATTACCATTTCCATACATCTTTCATTGTCGTCTGAATGGGTCCTGTTTGGGGTCATCACATCCTATATACATACATATACATAGTAGACGCTTTGATGCACGCGTCGCATACGCACGCGTACGTGTAGCCTGACATGGCAACAAAAGTGTGAGAGTTGTATGTGCGTTGTCCACACATGAATAATATCTATTTGTCACGTGTTCTCTTTCTCTGTTGTCTCTCACGTGTTCTTCCGTCTGCACGCGGGGATATAACAACGTGTTATTTTTTCCCGTAAGAGTACATTTTCTGAAGTTATTTGTTTGTTGTACAATATCTATATGTAATAGTCATATTGCGCGTTGTTCTTTCATCATCACATCCAACATCCTGACCCCCCGAATTGTCGTCATCATCATTGCTGAATTATCTCAGAGTTGCTATATGTTCATGTTCAAAAAGGTCCCGGTTCGCTGTGTGTTGTCCCCTCCCCTTTGTCCCCAAAAAGACCCCGTTGTTGTGTTGAATGGCCGTCCCCTCCCAAAAACCAGAGTTTGTTATATCTCGTAACAGCTAATCTCGACTGGTAAATTTATGATGAAATTTCTAAGTGGCGTGTGTTTTCGCAGTGTCCAGGGATCGCATCCCCGCTAAATGTGATCCATAGTGTAAACCTTGCGCAAAATGCCGCCGGCGGTCTATCGCCGAATGTTTCCTCATCACTACCTATGAAGCTCATATTGTCGCATTAAATGTTGTCATTTTGTGAAATACTTTGCTTATTATTGTGATTATCGATTGGTCGATTGTTAGCATTCGCGCGCGCTCTCTCTCTCCTCTCTGTCTGTCAGTTGTATGAGAAATATATTGGTTTGTATCACCTTCCCGCCATTCCCCATAGACGCCGACCTGACCCCTGTCCCTCGACACCGTATGCCCCCTGTTCTCGACCCTTGTTGTTTGTTCCTCCTCGTTTTTGACAAAGAGTTACACACACACCCCATTGTCATCATCGCGTTTCGCCTATGTTGGTTTTTCCATTGTCATGTTTTTTTGTCTATTTTGGCATCAATTAAATAGTAAATTATGAGAAATGTGTTCAGCAGTGTATGTAGATCAAAGATCTAATCGATACTGCGAAAACAAGGAAAAAGGGCTCTGGAAATCACGAGCTGTTCGCGACATATACGACTCCTATAGCAGTGACACGGATTCTAACATGAACCGGTTTGCCCCCATCGCGACCGAGGCACGCTCAATTTTCACAATGCATCGGACAGGAACACGGCTCAAAGCACAGCATCACCATTTGCAAAACTGTGCATAAATACGACTCCCTCGAACGTTCTCCTTCTGTATGGCCCCCTTCAGTGCGTATTTCCAAAAAAATTCCACCGTTGAGTGGGCCAAGCAATGTCCTCTTGAGATCTACGGCATTCCTCCCGTCCCCTCATCGTTCAGATTACGCGCCCCCCCGCCCTCCGGTGGGGTCTACAAATTTATATGCGCAACCAGAGGAGAAGCCTATCACAATTTATTTTTCTCTAGATGAGTGCATGACTCACCTTCGCAGTGGCCAAAATTACGAAAACACTTTGCCCAATTAATAAAACGGAAGTAAATCCGACTTCTACTGCGATGGAAATTGGCACGGCTACAGGTTTCAACCGCATCTCGAGGCTCAACGCACGAATCGGGCCTTGAAATCTTCACACTCTAAGTAGAGAGCGTAAGTTGGCAGCTTGTTAAAGTTGGAGTGTTACTGTCATGACCAAATGCCCCATAGCTACATCAAAAACTGACTGAGCAAAGAGACTCAATCGATCAATAAAGAATTTACAGGCAATTAGAAAGACCAAGGAAGTCGGCTTTTTCGGCGAGGTTCGGCTGGAAAGGGGCATTTGCACCATTCCCGCTAGTTCTCTTGTTCCGTTCCGTTAAGATTTTTTTTTACGCGTCCTACCTTTGTGAGACCTGTACATGTATAGGAGCCAAGCTCTCTTGTACTTCATTCTCACAGAATTTCCCGGTCCTCCATAAAGAAGGTACTGCATGGAAAGCAAGCAATAATTACCACCAAGGACCGAATGCGTCTGCTAAATTTCCTTAGCAGGAGAAACGATACTAGATTCATGAACAGAAACATGACTGAAGTTCACAAATAGCGAGAGAACCGTTCACAAGAATGAGCTCTACGCAAACGCGCCCGCATGAAGTTGATGGTCGCACAATGAATCGTATGCGGGCAATATGGTGGCGGGATTGCCACAAAGTTCAAAGGAAGATAAATAATTGAAGCATGCAAGGAGTAGCTTATGGAAAAAAATCGAAGTGATTACCGTCCGAATGACATTTCACAGGCTTCATGAGGATTGCCAGCTCGGAGGTGTCTGTGTTAAAGATTAGGTCACATTTGTCCCCCTGCACATAGCATAGAGAGAGTTACGTCACTGAGGGAGTCAGTCAAAAGCTTTGTAACTGCGTAAATGTCACACCAAGCTGTTCTACAATGAGTAACTAAGCTATTTACAAGAAAGCTGGATGCACTAAAGGTGTCGTTGTTGCGTCCAAACGAGTCGCTTAGCCACCGCGCGCATACCTGTTAAATGGTGCACAACAGTAATTGTGAATACACCAGTAATTGTTGAGATTGAGGCATTTTAGGAGCTTCAACCAAAATAGGCTACACAAAGCAAGTCACGCCTTGGGGAATCCCGAACGCAAGAGGGAGAGGTATTTTATTGCTAGAGTGGAGGAGGGGATCGTACTTGACGGGGAATTTTTTTCCAATTGTAATTTTTTTTCACTTTCACGCACTCTATGCTTCCCACTACAATTTTATAAGGGGCGTGTCACGGGGCTAGGTTTGGCGCGGTGCCAGCGTTTCCCACCATATGTAGTCGCTTTCCTTCTTCAACAATTTGAGGAGAAAGGCTGGCGCCGCGCAATCCTAGACCACTCTCCCTGACCGGCTCAGCATCCGCAGTGAACAAGAAATAAGTCGCCGAGAATAGATGCCGCTATTCAAATACATTATTCCGATGACTGCTAACCAGGAAAGGTCAACAGGTCAGCCCGGCCATTTCCAATGAGCTGCACACCGTTGTACGCGTCTTGGGACGGTGAACTCAGAACTGTCTTCAAAATTTGCAGAACGATTCTCTGAACGGAGTTATGGAGGGTTTATCCCCGCATGGTCGTTTCACATGCTATCGCGAGGAAACGTGGAAGCGTCTTTACATTTATGTATGGAGTCGTTCTGAGGCGCAACGGATAGGGAGCGGGTTTCTTAGGCGAGACGTCGTAGGATCGGTTCCGGGGCAGGTCCTTTTTTTGCATTTGTCCAAGAACATAGCCGACAAAGCTTCTAACATCTCTGCT